GTTGAAGTCTCTCAGTAAGACGACAGAGTCCCCAGGTGGACCTTCCTCAAGCATCCCGCCCAGGGACTCCAAAAACTGTCATTCGACACATAACTGCAGACAGTTATGACCTATTCCCCGACCCGAAGGCACAGGGAACAAACTCTGTCGCCAACCAGGAAAAACTTAGATTGCTTTGGCTGTATGTTTTGTGTAATTTCTACTTTTTGAATAGCTCTATGTCTGGTCCCTCACCCAGGACCAATTTGTCATGGGGGCAAAAAGTCCACTGACAACATAGCCCCTGGAATCCCTGGGACACTGAGGGGCAAAAGCTGTTATAAAGTGGAAACTATACAAATAAAGAAAATGTGATTGTTGGTGCCTTTTGGAGGATTAAAAAATTATCTAAATAAAAGTTATCTAATATGTTTGTGCTTCACTTATGGTGAGTGATATTCTAGTATTGTCCCAGTGTGTTACTTTCCACTGTTTAGCTAATATGCTAATATGTGTGTCTGAGCATTGCCCCAGTACAGTTCATGTATGCAGTTTGCTTACTAAGCTTGTTAGTGTTATCTACCTATCGAACATTCCACTTTCTTGTCCAAATATGGTAACTTCTGACCCCAACTGTTCTCAGTGAAAACACTAAGAATAAGGTTTCAAAATCCTGAGCCCACAATTAAATGGTGACCATATGGATCTTTTATATATAGTCTAGGATTGATGTCATCATGGGGCCACTAGGCAAGAGAATTGGGATGGAAATAGGAATTTTGTCCAAAGAGCGACCCGGCTCTACTCGACCATTTTATACAAACTGTGCTTTACAGAAGTAACAATTAACAGAGGACAATACATTGCACCTGCTGTAAGCTCCTGGATTCAAAAGCCTCAAGAGCAGAGTAGATGGACTCCTTAGTCGTGTTGATACGCTTAGTTTCCTCCCTCACCCTTCTCTGAAACATCTTTAGCTCCTGAGGTGCAAAATCTCCTCCTTCACTGAACAGCCTGCAGGAGGAAAACACACTCATCTGGTGATGATCACTTTGTTTTGCTGAAGAGTCTGCTGCAGCTGCTGTTACCTGAAGGAGCTGAGGAGTTGTGCTGTTTTGTTTCTGGCCTCCTCCATTCTTATCCTGACTGTCTGTCTGAAGTTTGTCAGCCAGTCTTGCGTTTCTTTGATGTGTCCATGCAGACAGTCCTGCAGGGTGGTGCTAGCAGCCTCCCAACTGCAGAGAAACATACCTGTGGTCAGTGTCTCAGCCTCACTAAGCTGACAGTCACATAAAGGTGCAGATAGACAGTTTTTACTGTTGACTGCTGCTGGCTGTTTGGATGTTGGCCTCAATGTTGGACAAAGTGACCATAAGCTCCATGTTCTTTTTCTTTATGGAGGCCTGCAGGTCTTGCAATTCCATCCTACAGGAGGTCAACAGGTCCAACACACCCTCAAAGTGGGTGTCCACATGCTGTCTGTGGAGCTGTAGCTCAGCTACACACAAAGACACAGTTTGGTTAAGAGGTGCTTTCATTATTAACCTGTCACTATATGCTTCTAGCTGCTTCTGTAAAAATAATATGGGAAGGACCACAGACTATTAATATAGATGGACATTGGTATTGGTAGTGATGTGCTAAGCAGATGCTACAGAAAGTGAATGACATTTTGTGACTTCAAGCATCTAACTTAACTGCTGGCAATGAGACGTATCCAGACAAGAGGTAATCTTTTCCCAAAGAAGCTGATTCTGAATACAATTTTGGATGTTGAACTTCAAGTGGGAGAAACAGTGGGTGGCTGTAGCTCAAGAGGTTGAGCAGGTCACCTACTGATCGGAAGGTTGGTGGTTCAATCCCTGGCTCCTCCAGTCTGCATGTCAAGTATCCTTGGGCAAGATACTAACCCCAAGTTGCTCTCCGATGCGTCCATCAGGGTGAATGTAGTTAAAAAGCACTCAGTATAGAGAAAGTGTTTGGGTGAATGTGGCATCTTGTCTAAAGTACTCCGGCTGGAGTAGAAAAGCACTATATAAGAATCAGCCCATCAACTTTCTTACCTGGATTATTGAGCAGACAAGATAATCTTTTCTCAACTTCCATGCAAGCTACTAATGAGAGTGAAAGATATAATTGATTGACATATGGCCTGGTATTAAATATGCTACAGGGTCACTTAGGCAACTGGAGCATTGAAGGACCACTAGCTGTTAGCTTCAAACAACTAGACTACTTCCAGGGTGGATACAGTTTTAAACCTGTATTCTTTTCAGTAGCCAGCATGAGTGAGTCATTTAGTTGAAAAACAAAATCTTATACAAGGATAATAATAATTAACTGGCAAAGTCGGAAAACCTTTTATGAGTTGCTTCAAAAAAAAATTTCACTGATGATTCTATAACTGCAGTTTTATTGTCGATTTATGTCAGTGGCTGTTAAAGTTAGACATTAGAGACATTTTAAAATAATTTCTGAGTGGCAGCACTTGCTTGTAAAAGGATTTGGTGTCTTTTTCTCATGCATTCAAGTCTGATTTCAAAACTTAAGATGTCAGTAGGAAAAAAGTTGAAATCACTGTTTAAACCCATCTTTTATATCCATTCTGTGAATCATGATTACTACCATGTGTTACAGCAAATTCTGTAACCTTTGACTAACTAAGTAGGTGACTAACTAACCAACATTTTTGCATTGTTTGTGTGTGTCTGTTACCCATGCGGGGCTCGTATATATGGGTCTTGATATGTCGGGGGCTCAGCTGCTGGAGTTGGAGCTCCTGCTCTGAGCGCACCGCCTCCTTCCTGTCTCTCATCATTAAAACCGCTAAACTGAACACATTGTGGAAATGCTGCTCCAGGTGGTTCAAGAACAGAGTCCGGGACCTTGACACACAGACAGTCAGCCTTTGAGGTGGTGATCTTTCAACTGAGAGTCCTTACAAGAGTGGAAATACAAGCGTGC